ATTTGAACAATTATCTGTTGTTGGCTGTAGAGATGGTCGGTAGTTTGCTTCAAGAGACGAAATTTGAATGGATTTAACAGCAGTATGGAAATTCTAGTTTAACACTTACTTTAATTTCTTTATTGAGTTGCCTCTTTGCAACAAAGCAGTCCCTGTCATGCTTCGTCGATTTGTGATCTACCCTGCATGCTTTGTCAGTAGAACACTCAGAAAGAGCCACATGTGAGGGAACCCTGTCCCAGGACATTCTGAAGTGCAATAGATATTGTGTGAAGGAGAGCAAGTCAACAGAATAATAATATTTACAGTGTTCACAAGGCTCTAGATTGCATGTCTGTGTGTGATCAAGTCGTTTTGCTTCCTCATCTGATCTCCTCTGCTGAGTTTACACTCACACACTACGGCTCCTGTTGCTAGCAGCATTATGAGTTTGCTGAGCAGGTCATCAGCGGTAGTTTTAGCTAAAGTTGTGTGTGGAATGGAAATCTGCATCCTACTAGGTGAAGGAGCAGAGTGGGTCAGCAATCAAGATTATAGTATCATATAAGTATTATAAAGAGCACAGTAATTGTCAATAAAAGCTTTTTTCTTTTTTTGCAGTTTCACATTCTATTCAAGGACAGAGAATAAAATTTAACAAAACAACAAAAAATATTTTATCAAAAGATGTGATATTAAAAGGCACTATGTAAAAATTTGAACCCCTTTATTTCATTTTGAAGGCCCTTGCTCATGGCTACTAGATTCAGTGAAAGTCAAGCACATACATTTAAATCACTGAGAACATGCATAAAAGTAATTAAGTTTCTTGTCTGAATAGCATTTATAAATTACAACAACTACAACCTCATTGTTTATCATTCTCAGTAATCATTGGATCCACATTTAGTCTTGCAGTTTTTACTCAGGTTAGTGGACGGCTTTGGATTACATTGCTAATCGGATGGTCTGTTGGTCAGTTTTTTTTATTTTTGGGGGCTTTTATTGCCTTTAATCGATAGTAGGGAGAGCAAGCTGTTAAGGGGGGACAGAGAGAGAGTGGGGGAGGACATTGCAGAAATGGCCACAGGTCGGAGCTGCCTCGTGGGCTATACGCCACCCCAGTCCACCATTTTAATCCAGACTGAACACCTCAGCAACTATTGGTTTAATTGCAATACATTTTGTGGTTTATAGAATGAATCTTTTCCACTATGGATGATGAGTTGCTTTGAGTAAAATGTCTTGACAGGTACAGTATTCCCATGATCTATGGTGAATAGGTTCATGTTCTACTTTTTCATCAGGTGAAAATATTAATTTACATAATAATGTTGTAAGACTAAAAACTAATGACAATCCCATCAGCCTCAACTGTCACTTGTGTTTAGTGTAGCAAATGTTGGCATTCATATAAAATAAGCTATTGGCTCAAGACACCAGTGTAAAACTAAACACAGGCTCACAGACCTGCTAATATGGCTGACTCTCAGTCTTATTAAACTTGTCAACATTTACTCAAATATGCTTGGCACTGTGTAGTAGTATCTGGGTTCTATCTTCTAACGTCTGCATGGCATTAAGAGACTCTCTCCCTTGTGTCAATTCCAGTCTCCATGTTATCTTGTTTTCATTGATATACGTGCAGCCTGTGAAATGTTATCTATTTCCATGTTATCTCCCTTCACACATTTTCCATATGCTCCTGTTTAAAGATTGAGCAGTTAGTTTTACAGAGCTCAGTGTGACTGTACAAATAAGTCAGTGATAGAAGTAAACAAAGGCGAGTGTCAAAAAAGAATGCTCTGTGAAAATCATCCTTGCATTCATTCATGCGCCACTCAAGTGATTTATCACTGTGATTTACATCAGAGCTGTGTTTGTCATCCTGTGTGTCGAAGACAGGTAGAAGCTGCACCTCACCTGGGATGTTACTGAGTTTAACAGAACGCTGGGAGCTGGAGATTTTCCATCAGACTGAGAGTCTCTGATATGTTATCACTTCTCAGATATCCTTGCTTACTGTATGGAATTTCTTCTCAGTGGTAGCCTTGGTTGAACCTCGGGGCAGGAGTGTGTTGAACTACATTGAACTGCTCAGTTCTCTCTCTTTTTTCTCCATTCTCTCAACAATAGATTATAGCAGTAAAGCTATTGTCATTTGCTATGGTTTCATGAAGCACAGTAGTATTAGAAGCCCTTACTACGTTTGAGTACTGACATGACTCATCAACTGAGAGCCAGAGCAAGGCAAACAGGGCGATGCACAGGGCTGAACTCATAAATACATATCCATACAACCTGAACACACACAAGAAACACAAAAACATGTAAAACATGCATGGGTCATTTCAAACATGCTTTCTTATAATTGTATTAACATGAACACTTTATTGTAACACACATGATCAAATATAATAATTTATTATTCCATAAAATATAGAGGGTGATTACTTCAGAGCACATTATCACTGAGACCATAGAGCAGGCACTTCCTGTTTGTGTTGCCAAAGTGGCGGATAGAAAACAGACTCAGACCTCCATCACTGTGTCTCTCCCCACTGTCACTGTTTCCCTCAGTTACTCCAAAACTCCTTCCTCCGTCTCTTTTGTGTGCTATTAAAATATAACAAATCAATGGAGGCCTAAAGTGACTAACATTAAATAAATAAGACACTGAGGAATAACTTATGATATCATCAAATACAGACAATCTACTTAAAATAACTATACCAATCAAAATCAAACAGAGTTATAAAATATTTATATATATTGGCCTTAGGTCATCTGACAGTTTCAAAGCTCTGAGTAGATAGATAGATCAGAAATTTATTTGTATAGCCCATATTTACAAATGACAATATGTCTCATAGGGCTTAACAAGGTGCGTGAGGAACAAGGGTGAGGAAAAACTACCTAAATGGGGGGGCGGCGTAGAAAACTCAGAGAGCCACGTGTGAGGGATCCCTCTCCCAGGATGGATAGAAGTGCAATAGATGCCCGCTTGTAGCTGAACACATCAACAAGGTGTTTCAATGTTTAAAGTATTTATGCATAACAAATTGTCTAATATCGATGAAATAGATAGATCCATCCAGCAGTTGCCACGTATATAAAAATACAATATGATACAAGGTAGAAATACACAAAAAGGAAAAGAAAATACACATGGTGCTGTAAAAGTCCAACACACTTATAATATGGCAGAAAGAGAGATTAAATAAATAAGGTGCAAAGGAAGTTGTGATACTGGTGTGCAAAGAATGGTGGTGATAGCATACTGATGAAATTATGATGATGTCAATAATAATAATAATAGTGTTAATAATACTTCTAATTGTCCACATGCTGCATTTGTACAGTGATATCATAGCAATAATAATAATACCAATACCAATAATAATAGTAATAGTGTACTATTGCTGCATACTAATAATAATGTTCTGTGATACCATAGCAATTATAATTTTATATATATATATATATATATATTACTACAACTAATAATGGAACAGCATAATAGAATTATATATAATTATCAGTAATAATACAGCAGTAATGTAGTGATAAAATAAGTATTTATGACAAGCATCATGTACACATTATGTAAGACGAACATACATACATAAAATATGGATATGATATATAATCTAAATATGGCATAGTAGTATCCTACAAGAATACTGTGTACTCATGTTAATCACTTAAAATAATAGACAGAAACAGTCACAGTCACTATTGTCAGAAAGTAAAGCAATGTATCTGGATCACCTGCATGATGACTCATCATTGTTATTACTCTGAGTAAATGTTTTATTTCTCGTTTTACATGAACATTTTAATTGACTGGAAACAGGGATTATAAGCTTTATGCTGTTCATAAAGATTTGCACTACAAACACTTAAACTCCAGTTCCAGGAAGAGAATCTGAGTTGTGTTTGTCAAGCAGCTCTGTTTAAATGTCATTTGATAAAACCACTTTTGCCTCCCTGTGCATTAAAGCCAAGTTTAATGTGTGTCTAGAGATTTTATAGACTAATTAAATCCATGTTAGGCATATGGCACTGTGTGTGTTCAGAGCAGTTTTCCATGGAAAGTTCCATTCGTTTAAAAAAGGGAGTTTTTAGTCCTGATGCGTTTAAAAAGAATGATTGCTAACATTTTGGTTTATACTTCGACAAAACCACTTGAGGACACAGCAGCTGCTTCCTTAGCTTAGTCTGGTGGTTATGTAGCTGATGCATGGATCAGAATCAGACCTCAAAACCAACACCCTACAGTGGAATCAATTGCTAAACTACACTTTCAAAGTAAAGTGGAATTTAACAGGGATACAGTTGCTCTATAGTTTATCAAAGAACTGCCTGTATATGATCCGTTGTCATGAGTCACAGAAAGAAGGACACATGGTAAAATTACCAGTTATTTGTTTTGGGACTCATGGTGTACACAATTACACCAGTTGTGGTAAAACAAAATGTGTGGTAAAACCACATACAGCCACAAAATGTTACCCATTGTCTGTCCTCTAGCTTGAGACTGCTCATGGTGGCAGCAGGTTGAGTAGTCCAGATGTCGTTTCCTTTGCAGCGTGTTCTAGTTTCTGCTGGAGGACCCCAATGTGTTCCCAGGGGCCTCCTACCAGTTGACCGTGGCAAAAAATACTCCAATGGAAAGTGCCTACAAACCAACCATAGTGATCTACCCTGAATGTTTTCCACACATTACTTTTTGAAATTCATGCAGTTTGGTTCACAAAAAACAACTTATCATGTGGCTATGTTCATAAGGTCTCAGTCACTCAAGTTTATTTTCCTCCCTTTGTGATGTTGCACCTATAGCTAAAGGTTTTCAAGTCATCTTATACTGTACATGTGTAAACAGTTTTTTTTATCTCTGTCGCTCAGCTGGGACTTACTGGGAGTAATCAAAAATCTATAGTGTTGCACAATATATGAAGTAATATCTGCATGTATCTCATCCTAAAAGCATGGCCTTCTCCGTTCTCTGTCCCCTCCAGCTGAGAGCTGATTGATCAACAGGACTGACAGACATGGGAAAGCAGAACAGCAAGCTCCGTCCTGAGGTGATGCAGGACCTGCTTGAGAGCACCGACTTCACCGAGCATGAGATCCAGGAGTGGTACAAGGGCTTCCTAAGGGACTGCCCCAGCGGGAACTTGTCCATGGAGGAGTTCAAGAAGATCTATGGTAACTTTTTCCCCTATGGAGATGCTTCAAAGTTCGCCGAGCATGTGTTTCGCACATTTGATGCTAACGGTGATGGGACAATAGACTTCCGGGAGTTTATCATTGCACTAAGTGTGACATCACGTGGCAAGCTGGAGCAGAAGCTGAAATGGGCGTTCAGTATGTATGACCTGGATGGGAACGGGTACATCAGTAAAGCTGAGATGCTGGAGATAGTACAGGTGAGTGTGCATGCTATCTGTGGACACAAATGGTACATATTAAACAGATAATGATAACCAAAGTTCTCAGTGTCTAACATACTGAAAAGTGCAAAAGCAAAAAAGAAAATTGTTGCACCGAGAAGAAAGTGTTGATGTCATTAAAGCCTCAAGTGGCCTTGACTGCGAGTCATTCAATTCTGAATTAATTGCAGTCACGTGAATCACAGACATTCAAACATCCACTCAACTGATATTAGCCAGAGCAGTGACTGTTAGCCCTTGTATCCATAATACACTTTTTATGACAGTACAGGCATTTTAAAAACAGGACGTATGGCTCAGTGCTTTTCAAGATTACATATGAACACTAGTTTGCATCATATGTTCCTTGTCCTGCAGATGGACACAGTTTCAGAAAATGGTTCATTAGCTTTACTCCTTTTTTACATGTGGTCGTAGCTTTATCAAGAAAAGAAAATGATCGATTTTCCATCTGCTCTGCACCATTTATAGGAGAAAATGAAACTAAATCTTAGCCTAATCCAGTTCTGCTGTTAAGTATATACACTCCTTATTGTCTGCATTAAAGGGATAGTTCACCTAAAATTGAAAATTCACTCATTATTTAATCACCTTTCTGCCGATGGAGGGGTGAAGTCTTTGAGTCCACAAACACTTTTGGAGTTTCAGGGGTAAACAACGTTGGTTCCTCAGCACAGAGCTGTGTTCGAGTGTGGATATCAGAGGACATTTAGGCTAAAAGCACGGTATAAATGACTAATGTCGGGGCTTAGGGACACTTGGATGACACCACAGGAGCAGTATGGAGGCAGTTTTTATTTTATTTTTTTTATACGTTTGAAGAAGCGGCCACCATTTATTTGAATTGGATTGGATTAGGCTGCACCACTATTTACCCCTGAAACTCCAAAAGTGTTTGTGTACTCAAAGACTTCACCTCCCCCCATCGGCACAGTGGTGAGTAGATAATGAGTGAACTTTAAATTTTGGGTGAACTATCCCTTTAAGACTATTAAGTCATGTACTACAATGATTCTGTGTGCAAGTTCCATCTATTACAAGCATTGGCATATTTTGTAAAGCCCACATATTTTCTTTTTTTAGCTGCCAAAAACATGTTAACATTATTCATAAAGGTAATAAAGATAAATGTCAGTCGACTCGGCAGGATTTCAAACATTAATAGCAAGATATTAGTGTTGAAAAGAGATATTGCTGACTGAATTTGAGAAACCCTCACCCTTGTTATTTTTGCCTATGACCAAAACATGATTTATACATCTTGGATCATTCGACAAACTACATACTTTAAGTATGTAAACTGATATTAAAGCTCTATAGCAGGGCACAGCTCACCTTTAAAAAAGAAAATGACAAGGAAAAGGGGGGAGTGAGGGTGGCATTTCAAGTAAACACATCATTCATGCACACCCAAATGCAGTATATAGTGTGTGCGTGTGTGTGAGTGTGTCAGCCTGCTTTTCATCTTTCTTTCTCTTTTTTCCTGGACATTTGTGTAACAGCAGGCAGTTTCTCTCACCTCAGTGTCACCCAAATTCACCTCGCTTTTACTTCTTCTCACCTTGTCTTTGTGCTGGGAGTCCTTTTATGAACATGAGGTGTTTGCATAAGTGAGGAAATGAGTTGCATACTTACTTATTGGAGACAAGCCATAGAGCTGGCAAGTTTGTTTTGAATTGTAAGGAAACGTATTATCTCAAACAGAAAAATCTGTATAACATAGGCATCCACTTAACAACATTGTACACAGATTGTGGAATTCATAGTAATAAGTAGATTTTAAACTTTTGGACACTGCTTACTTTTTTCTTCAAAAGACATTTTTCCACCAATAACTCCTATTGTGCAACTGTCTTCAAACCATTGCTTTTTTTTGTACGTTTTTACTCTTTTTCAATGACACTGACTTATTGTGTTATGTTGTAAGTTGGGGGACATGGCTCCTCAGCTCTTCAGATGATACACATGTAGACTCTACTCCCTCTCTATGTTTGGCTGGCTGATTCCCTTGATTCAGTGCCACCTGCCTCCACAGAGAGATAGCAGGTTTAAGAGAAACGTTTTCAGAAGAGGCACCATACTCAGCGTCTTTAAGTAAAGCTTAATGTGATCATGGTATCTGCTGTCAGCTGCATCAGAACTCTTTCTGCTGACAATGGATAACCTTCTTCAGTTTTCATACTCTCAAGGGACAGGCATATACTGAGAGCAAACGCTAGCAAGCTTGTTAGCAGGTTTGTTGGTTACATCCATGCCAACCAGTTAATTCAGGAAATGCTGTTTGAAGCAAAAGCAACAGTTTTTCAGTTCTTGGAGGACAACATGTGTTAATCTTTGTACTCAAATCAAAGTTTTGATTTGGCCAATATTTTACTTTGTTTCATTACTTATTCATTTCACTGGTTTGGAAAAATATTCAATTCCTTGCAATGTTGCAATGTTACAAAGTGTTCTACAAAGAAGATGGTAACATTGCCTGCAACACAATACATATTGAACAATTAGTACGTCTA